CCCCAAAACCCCAAAACCCCAAAACCCCGAGAGTGAGTAAGAGTAAAAATTAAGAAAAATAAGAATATTAAAAGAATAAAAATTGTTAAAATAGGCTAAATTTCTAAGTTTATTAAATGGAACTAGACTTCTCTTCTGTTGAAGATTCTCAACCATCTGAGTCAGTCTCAATGGTGCCTATGGAAAAGTCCGTGGAGGGCTACCGAAATTCTACTAAAAATTCTACAGTTGTTAAATAAGTCAACAATACTAAGCAATAAGACTAATTGATGAGGAATACAACATATGATCAATAGAAATTCAAAGATGTAAAAGCATAAAACAACATAGTATTAGTATCGAGCAGTGATTAAAAGCAAGCTAAAAAGGAGGAAAAGAAGAAGAAGCCGCAGTATTTATATCTCTGCACTGCTAAGACTCGCTATGTAGTGGTAAAAAAAGCCTGTCGCTAGCTGGGCTTCAAGCAGACAGAGGATGAGAATGCAGACTGGGATCTGTACTGGTGTGACACTGGGGGAATAACGCCTGAACAGCTATCAAAGATGCTCAACTATCAGAGAATCAATCACTTCCCTGGAATGTACTAACTTGCTCGTAAGAATAATCTTTGTCGAAACCTTATGCGTATGAACAGAGCATTCAAGCAAGATTATAATTTCTTCCCCAAGACATGGATTCTGCCTCAAGAAATGAGTGAGTTTAGAAACCAATTTAACACAACCAGCAAGAAGAAGGCGAAGACTTTCATCGTAAAGCCAGTGCATCTCTGTCAGGGCAGGGGTATTTTCCTTGTGAGGAAATTCGAGGATGTAGATTTAAAGCAAGGAGATCAATATGTTGCTCAGCGATACATGAGTAAACCCTATTTGATTGATGGCTTGAAATTCGATTTGAGAATTTATGCTCTCGTCTACGGAGTTGACCCTTTAAGAGTCTTTGTGTATTAGGAAGGATTAGGAAGATTCGCCACAGAGGAGTATGTAGGTCCTAGTAATGGGAACTTAGACAACTTATTCATGCATTTAACAAATTATGCTATCAATAAAAACAGTGAAAACTTTGTTTTCAACGAGGATTAGGATGATGACTCTAGTGGACATAAAAGAAGTCTTACTGCTGTTCTGGATTATATTCGAGAAAATGAGCCTTAGTGTGATGTCGATAAACTTTGGTAGGATATGCAGGATATTATTGCTAAAACTTTGATATCAGTGCAACCCTCTCTGCAGCATGCATACAGATCAAGCTAGCCTGAAGATCTAGAGAATTCAATGTGCTTTGAAGTTTTAGGATTTGATATCATTTTAGACCACAAACTCAGACCATATGTTTTAGAAGTTAATCACGCAGCATCATTTGCAACTGATAGCCCCTTAGACAAGAAAATTAAGCTTGACTTAATGAAGGACACTTTTAGCATGCTAAACCTCTCAACCAAAAGAAAAAAGCAGTAATATATTCAAAATACATTATCATTTATTGTAGACTAAAAAAAGAAAAAGCAGAAAACTTTAACAGAAGGTAAATGGGTGAAAAAGGACCATCAAAAATTGAAAAAGACCTGATTAGGAAAAAGAAGTAAGCCGAAAGAGATCAGTTTGATATGAATCATCTTGGTAATTATAAACTAGTCTATCCAGTGCTTAATGACTAAGTATCAATTTAAGAATTAAAAATTATTCTAGGTAAAAGCTTAGAAGTTCGAGTAGTACATGGATCAAGCACGAATAGTATGGTCTGAATTCACAGGTGGGGTGAAGCACGTCCCTTAAAATTCAAGCAATCTGAAGTAATCTACCACTAATCTTTAGCCAGCTGCAAAAGCTAAGACAGACTTGCTGACTAATAAAGCCAAGGCTTATAACCTTTAGAGTTAAATAGCTAAGGACACCAAGTCTGGCAATGGAAGTCAAAACATGGACTAGAGTGGAAGTAGCAACGCAGAAAAAGTATTTATAAAGAGAAATACCTAGCAAGTAAATTCTGCTGCTGATCAGCAAACTTTCAAATAAGGTATGATTGATATATGCATTTCGATTTATCTAATATAGTTCATATAGGGTAAAGTATCTTACAAAATAATCACTATAATAGAAATAATCCTGTAGACCTAACAAGAACCAACTCAACTTTTAACTCTTAAAATGTGTCAAATAATGCTTAAGACTTATCAATGGTGTCGCCTGTAAAGTAGGAAACTTTGGAATCAATACAGACCCATCCTGCAGACTCTCCTCAGCATAATAACTAGTAGTTGATGACCCCGCAGCCGAATTCTCAGATGTAATCCTTGAATCTCCACCATACTACAGGCGACTTTGGAGTTCAATCTCAAAATCTTGTAGAAGCCATCCACAAGAGATTCCCAATGGTTAGACTTGAAAGCTCTTCTTTGCAAAATTATGGTTAGTTCTATAGTCCACCAAGTGTGAATAATCTGCTGCCAAACTCTTAGTTCTCCAGCGCCTAGAAAAGTGGGAAAATCAATACTCAGATGAGTCGGCAATCTTTCCCTTCCAATATGACAGAACAGCAAAGCAATTACAATAGAATGAAGCCATTTATCAATCATCCTTCAAGCACTTCTAATAATGAGCAGCAGCAGTAAAATCCACACTCTGCATCTACAGCCATATCTAGTCTCTCAAACAACTCTGGAATGACTGTCACTAACATATCCACTAAGTAAAAAGCATCCGCTTCTCAGTCTTTCTCCTTGAGAAAAGATAGAAAGAGTAGCAGTCAATAGCCTGCTATGAATCAGATTTAAGTGCCTCAGTACTAAGTACCAATCAATCAATTCTTATTCAATCATCAAAGTATAAATCAGGCAGTGCAATCAATAGATAGATACTAAATACTCAAGCATATGGATCAAGTCAAGAGAGGAATTCATCCATAATAGCAAATGCAGATCATAAGACAAAAGATCACAAATAAGCAGCAAAGTCAAGATGGAGGTAACACTATGCAGCAAAGTGGCAGGCATTATTCGACTTCAGGAAGAGGACCAACTACTGGTTTGTAAAATGTAAGTTTCAGATTTATCAATTGAACTCTGGAATATAGAGAAATTAATAGCAGCTGTCATTAGCTGAATGGCTTTCGATTGGAAATGGGAATAATGATCCTAATAGATATAAGTAAATGTAGCAATAGTAACAGAGATAGCATAACTAACATCATCCAACTGCTGCCTCTAGAGTAGGTGTGTTCAAACAGTCTGGAACTATTACTGCTATTTAAAGCAACATTATTGCATGATTTAAAAATATCATCATAAATCAGATGGAAATATTTTATGTATGCTATTTTGATTCATTAGAATATTTTAATATCTCCAAATGATAGCATTTACACAATCTTAAGGGGTTTTGGGGTTTTGGGGTAGGTTATTGAAAGTGATCACATAAAGCTGTCATCT